CGTTTACCACTCAGAACCAAGCCTCCATGCCAGATCCAAACCATAATTAATTCCCTAAATCTCAGCAAGAGCAGTAGTAGCCGATCCTAGATTAGCCACGAACCCGCCAAGCCACCTGCTGTCGAGTCTCTAACCGCTCCACCAGCTCTGGCCGGCCCAGGGTTGCTGTTCGAAGCTCCATAGACATTCAAAGTCACCCAGTCGCTTGAGGGAGGAGACCACCTGACATTTGCCCACTATCATTCATATGGGCGCACTCGGTTGTCAGGAAGCAGCCGGGGGGGGGGGGGGCATTCCAGGTGTCGTGCCAGATCTTGGACTTCATCATGATGGAATGTTCCAAGGTCGGGGCAGAGAGAGCGACATTCGTTCCTCGTAGAGCAGCCGTGCATCGATTTTTCCAAAGGAGTCAAGTCGCCATACTGAAGAAGTAGGCCAACCAATGTTCGCGGCTGTCGTCTCTCTCTCCAAGAAGTTCCTGCGGGAGCCACTCTTCCTATGTAGTGCTGCAGAAGCTCTCTTGCTATTGAGGAGGGATATGGTGAGACCAGAAAAAGATGGTCGGGGGGCAGTCCCTAAGGATGTGAAGAATCGATTTTGGTTGTCCCGTACATCTCTCGCAGAAAGGGGTGACCGCGATCTTTTTGTTATGTCGAAGGACATTGGTAACTAACTTTCCCAAGACGGTCTGCCACATGAAGGTTCTGATTCGCTCCGGCACTCGCCAAATGATTTTCATACATCTACAGTATCCGACTAGAACAGTGGATCCTCCTCCTGAGAGCTTGTCGACCTCAATGCTCAAGATCTTCTGGTGTATCTCGCTCGGAAGAAGGCTGCTGAAGAGCTTTGTGCGCCAACTCCCATCTTCTAGAACAAAATCCACCACTGGCGCCTCCTCCAGCTAGAGTGAAATCTTGACGGTCGCCAAAGACTTCAGAGGAACCTGCAAAACCCAAGGATCAAGACATAACTTAGTGTGTCTCCCATTTTTAATATTCCAAGCGCACCCTTTTTTAGGAGGTGGGCAACTTTAGAAAAGCTGGACCAGGTGAAGGAACTTCCCTGAATTGGCCGGAGAAGACTGAGACCTTTTCTTTGTCTCACATATTTCGCTTGCATCACTTGAACCCACAAAATCCCTTTTTCCTAGAAGAGGCGCCATCCACTTTTTGCCAACATGGCAAGGTTAGCTTGTCTCGTTGGTCGGATACCCACCCCTCCTTGACACTTCGGAGCTGTCATATTTTCCCATGCCATAAAGATGCATTCTGCTCTTTTCCAGCTCATCACCCCATATAAAGTCTCTATTAAGCTTATCGATCGTTTTGCAGACATTGTTGGGGATCATCTCCGTCTGCATGTTGTAAATTAGTAAAGAAGCAACGACCGACCTAGTTAGGGTGAGTCTCGCCACAAAAGAACGGTGCTTGGCCTTCCAGGGCGCCATTTTCTTCTGGATGCAGAGGATGAGTGATTGGTATCTCTCCCTGGACACCTGTTCCTAGATAGCCTGAACTCCAAGGTATCTTCCCAGAGCTGCTTTAAGAGGTATCCCTGCTAGTTGGCTCAGCCGCGAAGCCCTTCGCCGATTAATGTTAGGGGAGACATACATAATGGACTTGGCGTAGTTGACCCTCTGCCCTGAGCTAAAACATAAATCTTCCAGGCATTGCTTGATTACCTGGATCTGGTAGAGACATCTGACCGGTCTCTGCCTCAGCAAAAAGAAGAAGGTCGTCAGCAAAAAAAAAAAAAAAAGACGTGTGAGCGTAGGGATGACAATCAAACCCATGGCCGCAGATATCCGATCGCCCCCGACCCAGTCAACGCGGGGAATCCCCGCTTTAACCGGGTATGGGGCGGGTATGGGTAAAACCCGCAAAAAGTTTGATAGGTGTGGGACGGGTTTGGTTTTAGCTTCCCCCGCCCCATACCCATACCCATACCCGCCCAACCAAGAGAATTTCTTCATATATAAAAAAATATGTTCATCAAATTATAATCTATCAATGATGACGAGGATAACTTGAGAAAATAAATAGTAGAAATGCAATTGAGTGACCATCTTAATCAAAACCTAATTCATTTCTCTCAATTCTAATTTCACTCTTTCACTTTCCCCCTTGTCAACAAGATTATGTTAGTTAATTATTACTTAGTAGATGTATCAGAGTTAGAACATAATAATTTGAAAATATTATACTCTATATTATGTATTAATGGATATTTTAGGATCATATTCTTTGAACCATATTAAAAAAATGAATGTGTTTTGTTGACTTCATGATATAATATGTTCGTTTAGAGGTATAATTAAAACATTTCTTGTAAGTTTTAGGTATAATAATGTTGGATGTACGGGTATGAGTATTACCCATTGGTACCCGAAACCCACGAGTATGGGGATGGGTTTGCAAAACATTTCCCCGCATGGGTATGGGGCGAGTATTGGTTTGGGTATTTGAAGATGGGGATGAGGATGGTTTAGGCAAACCCTCCCTATTGCCATCCCTATGTGAGCGCCATGCCATTTGCGGTGAAGAGGGGTAGGTTCCCTAGCTATGAATCACAATCCTTAACCTAACGGTTAAGAGAGCTAGTTCACCTAGCTTATATTTGTTGATTTTCCTTCATTGATCGGCTAAGGGAGTTTTGTCCCTAGCTAGTTGCACCCACCTCGCGGTGTATGAACACGCCCTTCACACTAGAGCTTTGTTTGTCGCTTCTTAGCATGAGACTAGAGGGAGCAATACCCGGGTGAAGTCCTCTCGAGGAGAATTCTCCTCCATTTACTTTCTTTGCTTGTTTAGTTTGTAGTTTTCTTTGTTTTAAACCCAAAACTATTTTGCTAGATAACAACTTAAGCGATTAAAGTAGGGGTACATGGACCGGCCCGGGTTTGACAATTAAATACTTGCCTATACTGCACCCGACTAGAGTTTAAAAACTTGGGCTCTAGTCGGGATATAATTCGCGGTGTAGTTTTGAGCGAGTCAGGCCTCATGGATTTGTGTCCCTTAGCAAACTATGGGATTTATGCCAAGTCCTTCATGCTTGGGATTTGGATGCCAAATCCATCACCCAAATCCCACAAGCAAACAATACCTACAAGTAGGTGTGTCAGTCAGTCGGTTTCGTTTAATCGAAAACCAATTTCTCGTTTATCGGTTAAACCAAGCCACCACTTTTTGCTGTCGACCACCGACCGTGAGGGACACCACGACTAGCCGACCACCGACCGATCGATTATCGATTTTGGTTCGGTTAACCGCATACCTGAAAAATACTCCCTTCTCTCCAAAAAATCCATTAAAAATTATTATAAAAAAAACGAAAATCCCCCCACCACTGAATCCTTATCTCCTTCCTCCTTCCCTCTCCTTTCCACTAGACCACCAATCCTTCCTTCTCTCTCCTTCCTTCTTCCATTTCAGATTTGGACACCACGACCACAGAGGAGAAGCAGAGGCACTGCAATGGCGAGTGGAGGCAGACATCGGGGTAGAGTGGTTGGCGATTCGAGGAGGAGAAGCAGGGGGTCGCGCACGCGAACGACGGAGCGGAGGGTCGTGGTCGTCGCCGGGGTCGGAGGGTGGAGATGCAGAGGTCGATGGGGGACGAGAGGCGGAACGGAGGGCAGGGGTCGTCGCCGGAAGCGGAGGGTGGAGGCGGGAGGGGAGACATGGATGGTGGAGGAGGCATAACATTTCGTTTTTGGGGGAGGGGGTTGTTGGGAATAAGTCTTTTTACTTTTTGGGGAATGGTTCTGGGAATTGGTCTATTACAGGGAGTGGTTGTGATGAATTTTGCCGTTCTGATTTGGGGGTTTCCCTTTCTTTGAAGGGTTTTCTTTTTCCTTGTTTCGGGTGGAGAATATATTGTGTCTGAACTTGATTTGGGAGGAGGGACAGGGGAAAGAGATGGTTTTTTGGATTGACGATGAGGACGACGCGAGATGATGTTGTTGCTACTTGCTGGGTTGGTGGCCTGCTCCGAGACGGGAAGGAGGCGTACGGGACGGCGCGACGCTAACCGCGATGGGAATGAGGTGGTGGGTGAGGTGCATGGAGAGGCGAGGAGGCAGAGGTGAGGTGGACGGTGACGCGGCGGCGGAGGCGAGGTGGACGAAGGCAGGGAGAGTTTTGTTCGAGTTCGCAATTTAGGGTTCGAGGAGGAGAATGGAGGTGGAGATGATGGATAGAATTTTGAGAGAAGGTTAAGTGGATCTTGACTGGGGCCGGTTAGCCGGATAACAGCGGTTAATCACCATCAGTTACTCGGTCAACCGACCCCTTCCTTTTCCCATCTGACCATCGACTGCCAAGGTAACAGGTCGGTTTTCGATTAGCTGGTAACCAACCAGTTTTCGATTATAACCGACGGTTACCTGCTAACCAAAAACCGAAATGCCAACCCAACCTACAAGTTCGGAATTGAGATTTTACTCACACGCTAAAGGACGACGTGTGGTTAAGTGATGCAACAAGTTTGTGTACTTTACTTTGTCTAATTAAAGTGTTCTTGATTGTAAATATTTATTTATTTTAAATATTTATAAAATTCATTAGACTAAAAATCAGACTACAATATATTCAATTTGATACGATCCGATTTAAATATTTGATTTGCAGATGCAGTCCAGTATATATCAAATCATTACAGAGCACTAGGTATGTGTGCTGAAGTAGAGAGTCTTAGGAAGAGGATATCCATAAGACCATAACCACTTGCTCTGCTCACCAACTACCTTCACTACTTTTAGTCTGGGATCTGGTGGCAGCCCGCCCACCATAGGAATAGTACACACCCACCAACCCCACCAAACACCGTTAAATTACATTAGCAGCAGGAAAGCAAAAAAGAATAGTGCTTACGCACAAAATGTCAAAATCACCGGATTTAATCATCGGAAAAAAAGAAAATTAACGGATCTTCTGCCGAAAAATAGAAACAAACACGAAAAAAAACGAAGGCCATAACTGTCAATTCACAATCTCCACCTCGTCCATTTTAAGCCCCTCTCCGTTTCCACTTCCATTTCTTCCTCACCCTGTTTCTCCCTCTCTCTCCACTCTGTTTCTTCTTCTTCTTTCTCTCTCTGAATCTCACCAGAAGAAGAGAAAACAAAGAAAGAATATGGATCCAGTGACAGCATGGGGAAACACTCCGTTGGACCAGGTGGACCCTGAGATCCACGACCTCATCGAGAAGGAGAAGCGTCGCCAATGCCGCGGGATCGAGCTCATCGCATCCGAGAACTTCACCTCCTTCGCCGTCATCGAGGCCCTCGGCAGCGCCCTCACCAACAAGTACTCCGAGGGAATCCCCGGCAACCGCTACTACGGCGGAAACGAGTACATCGACCAGATCGAGAACCTCTGCCGATCCCGCGCCTTGGAGGCCTTCCACTGCGATCCGGCCAAGTGGGGTGTCAATGTGCAGCCTTACTCCGGCTCCCCTGCCAATTTTGCCGCCTACACCGCCGTCCTCCAGCCCCATGACCGCATCATGGGTCTCGATTTGCCATCGGGTGGCCATCTCACTCATGGGTATTACACCTCCGGCGGTAAGAAGATCTCCGCCACTTCCATTTACTTTGAGAGCTTGCCCTACAAGGTGAATTCCGAGACGGGATTCATCGACTACGATAAGCTGGAGGAGAAGGCGCTGGATTTCAGGCCCAAGTTGATCATCTGCGGTGGCAGTGCGTACCCTAGGGACTGGGAGTATAAGAGGTTCAGGGAGGTTGCTGATAAGTGTGGCGCTCTTTTGCTCTGCGATATGGCTCACATTAGTGGCCTTGTTGCTGCTCAGGTATAATTGCCTCTTCTTCTGATTAGCCTTTTGTCTTTCCTTTCCGTTAATTGGATCTGCGATTTGGGATTGGATTGTTGCTTATCGGGGGCATGCTTGCTACATCTCAATTGTGCTCTCATTGCACCAGTGGATCTGTTATGCACTTGTATGTTTGTTTGTTCTTTCATTCTGGATTTTGGGATGTGGGCTCTAGGTCTATGATAGCTTGAATTCTGTAGTTAAAATTGTGGTGGCTGAAGTGTTTGTCTGGGATAGTAGTATTGTTGCTTTTGTGTTATATGTCATAATAGTTTGTCCAGATGTGTATGCTGTTTCTTTTCCATGTCATTCCATTTCAACTATTCAATTATGGATGTTTAAAAATCGAACTGAGAGATCTTGTTCATGGTAGGTGGTTTGTAGATGTGTCTTATAATGTTGCTTGTTTTCATGAAGTCAAGATCTATGGTGGGAGTAAACTAATAAGAGATCTGTTCTTCTCTTTGAGTGCTGTACAGGAAGCTAACAACCCATTCGAGTACTGTGACATTGTGACGACCACAACCCACAAGAGTTTGAGGGGACCTAGAGCTGGTATGATCTTCTACCGCAAGGGACCTAAGCCAGCAAAGAAGGGACAGCCAGAAGGCGCTACCTACGATTTTGAGGACAAGATCAACTTCTCTGTGTTCCCTTCTCTCCAGGGAGGTCCTCACAACCACCAGATCGGTGCACTTGCTGTTGCATTGAAGCAGGCCAACACCCCTGCATTCAAGGCCTATGCCAAACAAAGTGAAGGCCAATGCAGTTGCTGTTGGTAACTATTTGATGAAGAAAGGGTACAAGATGGTCACTGGTGGAACTGAGAATCACCTTGTTCTGTGGGATCTCAGACCTCTTGGGTTGACTGGTAAGCAGAAGGAACCCAATCATGATTAGTGTCTCCTTTATAACTTTTCCATTGTTTAAGGGACACGGTTGTGTGATCAAATTTTGATCGGTGATTGTTTCGTCACTTGCAGGCAACAAGGTGGAGAAGCTTTGTGATCTCTGCAACATCACCGTGAACAAGAATGCAGTGTTCGGTGACAGCAGTGCTTTGGCCCCAGGAGGCGTGAGAATTGGTAAGAAGAAGCATCACAAACCAAATTAACTTTGACTGAATCGGTAGCGGGTGCAATTTTTTTCTTACCGGCTTTTGTTGGTTGGTTGTTTGGTGGTAGGTGCACCGGCCATGACTTCAAGAGGGTTGCTGGAGAAGGACTTTGAGCAGATTGGTGAGTTCCTCCACCGTGCAGTTACCTTGACACTAAGCATTCAGAAGGAATACGGGAAGCTGTTGAAGGACTTCAACAAGGGTTTGGTGGACAACAAGGAGATTGAGGCCCTGAAGGCTGATGTTGAGAAATTTGCAGGTTCCTTTGACATGCCCGGTTTCCTCATGTCCGAGATGAAGTACAAGGAGTAACTAGGGTTTGGTTATACTTCATCCAATTTATATTCCTGAAGTAGCAGCGTGAATTTTTACCCGATTATGAATTTATGATTGTCTCCCCACCAAAGAAAGGAAAAGAAGGGGTTTTTTTTCTGTCTTTTGTTGGCTTCATAGTTTGTTAGGTTGTCCATTTCACATTATTTTCCCCTGTTTGTCGGATGTTCTCCTGTTTGATGCATCTGTATCCTCATTGCTCTGTGCTTTATAACCTAGATTGTTGGCAAAATCAATAAATCAAGCAGTCGAATTACAGATTTCACATAACTTTGATCTTTCTTGGCTATAGCCACTGGAATTACAGTTGTTAAACCGGGGTTGGACTGACCGGTTTAGCTTCAGCTGGTCTTGGTCGAACGATTGGCTTTTGCAGTTTGATCGAACGATTGAGCTTGCGAATCCCTTCCTCTGCTTTCCACTCCAAGCGCTTCCACTCTCTGCATTTCACTGCAAATCCGAGTCTTTTTGAGAACACCGAGCTCGATGAGTTGGCTTACTTTAGGCACTCCACTATTCAAGTTGAGCCCATGCTTTTTGGCTCTTAGAAGCACTCTCACGTTTCAGACAGACAAATTATCTCTTTACTCTAGTTTTAAGGTTCACAACTTCAAACTTGTCTTACAGTCAGAGTTGATCAGTTTTCCAGTAACTTCACTCATAAATCAAGACATTCTTCTGTGTTTTCAACACAAATCCAGATATTCACAAGAATAGAAAGCAATTAACAACATCCAGGTATGAAATACAACCTTCTCACCGAGCTCAGCTTGATTTTTTTTTTCCTCAGCCAACCTTTCCAACTCTTCCTCTAGCCTTTTGACATCACGTAATATGTTTGATGCAGCAACCTTTTCCTCCCTTAGACCATGCCAGCGTAGCTGAATGTGCTGCAGATCATTTTCCATGTACCTTAGCTCATCCCTAACTTTTCCAGTTCACTCTGCAGAGAATCCCTAGTTACCAAGAGAAGATGATCAAGATAGCAAAAGACCTTGCCGACAATTGCCCAGCTCCATGCTCGATCTCTTCACACCATTTCCCCTATCTCTTTGTTCAGGTGCTCGCTCATTTCACAATCCTCTTTCGTTTCTGTATATGCTCTCTGTTGAACGATTCCTTTGCACTATCGTTTCCCTAAGTAGACTGAACAGAACCTATCCGACCAATTATTGAAGGGTGGAAACTTCGCTTGAAATTGGTTCAATTCATGCTCTTTTGGGCTTCCCGTTGTTGGCGCTCCAGTGATTCTTTATGTCCTTTGCCACCTGCTTATAATCTGGTGGAATTGCTTTATCATGCTTTCTACTGCAGCGGATGTGAAAATGAGGTACCCTGCAATCAAATTTAGAGGTTGAATTTCTTACAGTAGAACCTCAATGGAGGTGAAAAAGGCTGCAAGGGAGCTTCTAAGGAGCCTTGAAGCTAAGTGGTCAAGTTGCTGTTGGGTTTTTATAGAGTGGAAGCCCACATTCAGAAAAGGCATGTTCTTATCTGATATTATCTTGTGTATCTTTCAGATGCTGTCAATAGTTTTGTCAAGACTGGGAAAGTCTGTCTCTTTTTTATAACAACTAACTAAGCAACATATTGTCTGAACCATGCTACTACAGGTATTCTTCCTAGAAAGGTTGCTGTTATGCAGTTGTGTGCAGATACTGGTCAATGCTACGTGATGCACATATTTCATTCCGGAATTCTTCTAACAACATCCTACACTTGTGAAAGTACAAAACATCTTTCTGTATCCATCCTTTTCTCTTCTATTTTGACACCCAGATTATAGATGTATTTTATGTTGCCGTGCTCTGATGCCTCTGCAGGTTGGAGTTGGGATTGGCAAGGACTGTGTGAAGGTTTTAAAAGATTATAATGTCTCTGTTCAAGCTGTGGAGGATCTTTCATCTCTAGCAAATCAAAAGCTTGGCGGAGAACCCGGAAATTGGAGTCTTAAAGCTTTAACTGAGATGCTTGTTTCCAAAGAGGTACCTTCACATTTTCCTGTCTACCTACTGAAGAATTACTACACATTCTGCAGTCAATCCTAGATGGCATCTGTGTGTTTGTATATCTTCATGCATCATCTCCCTTTGAAGTTTAAGTTGAGATAACGAAAATCAAAGTCTACTTAGGGATATAGGAATAGCAATGGTGAATATGCGCATCGATTGAGAACTTTCCAGTGTTCCTTTGTAACGCACATATGGAGTGTTCAGTTAGGGATATAGGAATTGTGCATTTGCATCAGTGGGGTACTTAACCAGTCTATCCTTGCAGATCTAACATCAAGTTAACCGTTATACTGTGCTTTATACTCTTGTTAGTAAAACTTGCTTCTGGATTTTGTACAATATAGCATCCATACCCAACAAATGAACTGCATTGACGCGAATATAGACAAACTTTGGCGTTGGTAGTTATCCTGTGGACATTGTTAGAACCACCCACAGGGGGAACTTATGTAGATTCTGGACCCTCACTAACAAACATTGCACTCAGAATAAGTTAGGAAATAAGGTTGCGTCAGCATGATGGTTTTCAGACTAATGGTCTCTCTCCCTTGCTTCGCAAGATCCCCCAGCACCTGTGCTTTTGCTTCTGGTTTCCCCCTCTAAACTAATGTTCTCTGCCATCCTGTCTTCGTTCTTCTGCAAATTCGCCCATTTAAGCTCAGCAGTTTATCAAACGAACAAACTACTCCGAGATTCAACTGGAAACCTCTATCCTCCAATGTCATTTTGGGCTGTGGTCTTAAGCACATGCGTCAATAAGGTATTCTAACTAGCTAATGAACTATACTTTGTAGCTTCCGAAACCGAACAAGATCAGACTGGGGAACTGGGAAGTTAAATCTCTATCAAAGTAGCAACAGCAGTATGCAGCTATACCAAGTAAGTTGTTACTTTCTACAGAAATCACGCTGCTACTGCATTTCTTATTTACACAGACCCCACACGTTACACAGAACTGTTTCTTCTAATGAATAGGTCTTGAAAGAGCTTTGCCGACACAAAGAATTCTGTAGGTGAAGCCAGTGAGGACGTGAAAGTTGTGCCACCATGAGTTCCTTACCTGCAGAGTTTCCTCATCATCATCCTGCAAGGCAAGTCAACGCAAATAACAATCAATTGCTCAACAAACTGACAATTAACTTAGGCCCTAGTCTTTTTCTCGTCCTATGGCAGATAAGGACTATAGACTATATAGCCTAAGATAGTCTGAAACCTCATTGTCTTCTGGTCCATCTAATCAAAGCCTAATGTCCCCACTGATATAATTATTGAATCCAAGTCCTACTTGAACATCAGAATGGGGAAAAAAGTATCCAGAAACATAATTTAGTAATCTCTTAAATGACCCATCTCATCAATGATCTCAAGTATTTTGGATGTACCCTGTAGCTTCGTTTGTATTCTTGTGCTTCAATCTTCTTTCTGTTCCCACTTCACTCAATGACTGGAGGGCCAACTATCTGTACCAACTTGTTCCTGTTTTTTAAGCAGGTAATCGTAATTTTGATTCCGGGGACATTCTTAATTGCAAGTTGCCAGAGCTAAAAAATTCACTCCCTGTACTTGTTTGAGGTGTGGATTTGATCCTAGAGAAACTCTGGCACCACCTACCAATAACAATAGTTACCAATAGGGGTTTCCTCCACACTGAAAAACAGAGTTTTTGTTACAAATCGCACCCGTGACACGAACTTTTCATATGACATTTCTAACACGAACTTCTGTGTTTTTGATGTACGGGGAATGCAATTTTGTTAGACAGTTCTCATGGGAGTGGACTAATGACTTTTTTTTCTTCAGGGCACTGAACTCACCGAATTACTATGCAATAGCAAGGCAATATTCTGCTGAGGAAAGGAAATATTCTGCTGATGAGCAGGGTGCGATGGTGCAATGTCATAATCACGATTCATGTACCAAGTGGCGACCTTCCAATATTCCTGGTGGCGGTGTGAGTGCGTAAATGGAATGGAAAAGGGGCAGTAGCCAACAGCCCACATGCCCAGCACATGGAAAAGAGGGGCCAGGGCCAGCCAATTTGAAAAGGAAAAGAGGAAGAAAAGAAAGGGGAACCATCAAAGAACCCTCTCTTCTCTTTGCTGTCCCCAACTCCTCTTGTTGGCCATGCAAATGCAACACCAAGAAAGAAAGAAGCAATTCATTCAGCAAATGATTGATTGAGAAATGAGAAATCATTTCCCCACTTTTTCACCCCCTCCACAGTGAAAAAAAGGGTTTTTGCAGCAGGAACAAATCTGCTGCAGAACCAAACAAAAGGTGTCAGATGGGGGGAAAACACAGGTGGGTGAGGATGATTGAGTCCCCATTTCTGCTAGGTTTAAAAAAGGGTGCAGAATGGTGGGGGTAAAGTTACTGCTTTCTTGGTGGTTGTTTGCTTGATGTTTTTTTTTTTTGGTCTCTTCTTCTTGTGCTCTGCTATTTCTTTCATTAGCTGATGTATCTACCTGGTGCAATGATGTCCAGTATTGAAACATGCAAGGTGTCTTTCTGCCAGTCGTAGTACTACTCTTTGTTGTTTGTGGTGGTGACTATATGGGAAAAACACTAGACAAGGGAACAGTCACAGCAAAGATGGAAAAGAGAATTTGGAGCTAGCTCTGTTTTGTATTGGTTGCTTATGACCCAACTCAGAACTGGTACAAAAAACTTTAATGTGTAGCAGTTGTTTTTATGGTCATGAAACTCGGTATTTTTACCAGCCAATCCTGAGGAAGTAGGTTGCTGTCCCTGGCACCGACTAACATGCATGTGATGTGAGTCCTCCCTATTTGTGAAGCCCTAAAGAAAGGAGAAGTTTTCCCAAAATGTATAAAGATACAAAAGAAATTTCTCTAATACAACCGTTGAACTAAAACATTTCCAAAATACTAGAGTTTGAAAAGGTTCGTCTCACTCTAGAGCAAACTAGGTTGCGGTTCGTGCCAAACAGAAGCGATTTATGTTGTTCACTTGAAAGATAAAATGAACAAAAAGTGGTGCACCGAAAATAAGAGTGATGTTTATTGTTTGTACGGGAGCAACTGGTACTAGATGGTATATGATCTATAATTAAATATCAATGACTCGAGTTATTGAGAACAACTAATTCTTGACATGGTATCTGAACTTGGTGTGATCGAAAAGTCTTCTATTCTAATCCCGATGACTCTCATATGTTCTGTTAAGCACATAGTGTACGGACCTGTGCAAACTTCAAACCTATATGAGCGGTTTTCATTTGAGGGAGTGTGAACGAAGCACATCGAGATTCATGTTCATTATATTCAAGATCTTGTCCGAGATGGCACTGTCAATCTGCATTATATACACACCGAAGACCAGGTGGCCGATCGGCTCACAAAGGTTTTTTCTACTAGTCGACACTGGTATCTTGGTAGCAATTTGATGCTGATAGACCGATATCAATTTGGGCGAGGCTGTTAGATACTCAGATCCGATAGTCCACCCAAGAAATTTTTCATTGAGTTGGGTACCTTACTCTCTCGAAATTACCGACAAACCTCTGTCCAACCTATGCCAAAAATTGGAAGATTCCTCTTGTTTTTACCCACTATATATTTATTTTTTAGTATATTTGTCGTACATTTTTTATATTATGATTTATGAAAAAAGAATCATGTGTATGATCCTATAAGACTAATAATCTATTAGTAGTTTAGCCATAATTTATTATTGAAAATCATTATTTGTGCATTTGAACTCTTTATCCACTAATTTGCAACTAGTTATAATTACTTTTTTTATTGATTATTTCATACAAGATGAGGGCCGAGATGCAAGATCCTAGAATACATATTCATCCTGGTTCATAAGACACTCATTTGTTGGATGGGCAACCAACCGTATCATCGTTTCCAAAACATTTGGGCGAACGACCTGATAAGCACTCGACCATATATCTCGTATTTTTCGAAACATTCATCCTGGTTCATAAGACACTCATTTGTTGGATGGGCAACCAACCGTATCGTCGTTTCCAAAATATTTGGGCGAATGACCCGATAAGCACTCGACCATATACCTCGTTTTTTCTGAACAATGATTGTGCGAATCATGATACTAAGTTTGCATGTCTACTCGACGATGAATCTAGTTCGGTTCTATTTCCAACGAACAACGTAGGTCACTTCTGTCCGGTGCGAACCGCACCAATTGTTCGTTTCAGCGTCAAACGTACCACTCCAAACTCTAATATTTTGAGAAATACAAGCGTAAATGTTATATTTTGTGAGCTGTTATTTGTAAGTGGGGCCTTTTTTGACCAAGAAAAGAAGACCTAGAACTAGAAGCCAGGTTTACAATTTGGTGAGGGAGGAAGGAGGAGGCAATGTCCTCCTGCCTGCGTGTCTGCCTTTGAGTTGAAGCAACTAGCTTTGGGAGGGGTTGGCCCAAAATTTCATACACTAGTACTTGATGATATATGATTGATTACACATCAATGCGTTCTCTGTCACTAATTTGTGTCTCCATTGGTTCAGTGTACCTGCTTGACTCGAATTTTGCAAACAAATTCATGACTCCATTATCCTCCAGTACTGCCCCTCGCATCTGGGCATGTAGGAGTAGTTGGCTGGTACCAATAATAACTTCACAAGGTCTCCAAAGTTCAGTCTTCTGTTTGGTATCATATCCCATTCGCATTCCCATTCTTCTTGCTCTCAAACATTTAAGGTTTCCATGTGGAAAGACTCCCACCCAAGAAGCAACTTGGTACCAAGTATTATTATTAAGGGAGCCATTTCCTGGCTACATGGGCAAACGCGATAGTAATGATAGCAACCTTCGGCGAATGACCCAAAACCAAATGGGTAAAGGGAACTCCAAATAAAAAACTTGAACAAGACATTCCTTCCTACTAAATATTATCACCAAGGTCAGCGGCGGAGTCACTTGTGATTTATTTGCATCACTTTGTGTGTACTAGATAGAGCTAAAAAAAAAATGTGTCGTTTCTTATTTTGTTTGGATTTGGAATCGAGTACAAAATCTTCCTCCTATATGTTCTATTTTAATGAATCAATTTATCAGTAAGTCACCTCGGGCTTTGTTTAAGTTTGATAGAAACACGAAAAATTGATGGTAGATCTAGGAATTGAAGAGGTGAATTAGATAGGCATAAGGAGAAACTCTAGGGATTTTGAAGGAACAATTTGAGAAAAAGGATAGAAGAACTCCAAGGATAGAAGAGCAAATAATGTGGTTGGGTTCAAAATCTTGTGGCCAAAAACTAACGAAAAAGGAAATGGTAATGAGACTGTCGGCCTCACTGGAGAGGGAGACGAGTATTAGGACTTTGAGGAGGGAGATACTTAAGTTTCACTTCTATTTTCTTCTTCGAAAATCAAAAAGCCCAAAACCCTAAAATTAAACATAATTCAAGTTATAAAGAAAACTATTACTCATGGATAATCGTGGATATCCGAAACCGAACGAGCATGGACATGGTTTGAATTTTCTACCCGTTTCTTATGTGGATATGGGCATGAGTAAAACCCGAACTACTTTGGGTAGGGTAACGGATATGCACTATCCGTCCCCAACCCGACCCATTGCCATCCCAACCTAAGATTGTACTACTGGTAATAACATTTTTTTTTAGAGAAACTACTGATAATAACATTGAAAACACATGTTTCCATGAAACTTTTTACATAGATATTCTCTAAAGCCATTTGTGAAATCCCTAATCTAATTTCCCCCAATACCTCTTAATTAATTTATTTTTACATAAACTTAAATTTGGCAAAAAAAATTGATGAAAAAGTGGAAGTAAACACAATCGATGTCGCATCGAGCTCCCTTGCAACCATTCCCATTTTCAAAAAAATAGTGAATGAATATTTTGTACATCGTAATAATAATTTGTAAATGACTCACTCCTACTGTCACTCTAGAAATTGGCCAAGTGTAACCACTTCCTAAAGCGTAGTATAGCGGGTTTGGGTTTTAATGTCAACCCGGGTCCTAGATTTGATGGCAACTCGGTGAATTCTTGTTATCTAGCAGTGAAACTTTAGTGCAGGTCCAAATTAACAAACAAACAAAGCAAGTTAAACGGTTGTTTTCAAGTCGAGAGAGGTCACCCGGATATGGTTCCCCCTAGATTGCAGTTAAGCCGGATTGCAATTTACCAAGTTCAGTTTTCATGAAAGTTATATTGTGGAAGGTTCTTAAACAGTCCGAAGTCTCGACTAAAGGTCTTCAGACCCTCTCAATCTGAGTCTCTAGCGGGCGACTAACCTCCACCGGAGTAAACAGATTGAGGCCCTAACGAACCAAACCTCCACTACCGAAG